TATATGAAAGCGTACTTGTATCTATTTCCGAGGCTTGAATCCGAGAAGTAACTCATTGTGTCAGCATGCTTCACATGAATTTGCGTTGTGTTATATACTGGAGTAGAGGATAACATTAACAACAATGAATTTGTTTGCATTAGGCTATATAGATGCAATGGTACTTTTGTTTGTGTTCCAGACCGGTGCCGGAGAAGGAGTTTGTGGAGGCGTACATCAAGGCGTACTATCTGCCCGAGACCCAGCTGGAAGGATGGGTGCACGATCACAAGGTAGGCGAAATGTCTTGGTTGAGACAAATTTTAATAATTTGACGGATTGAAAGCACGTTCATGCACTGCAAGATCACTGTTATATCTGAGTCTGCGCAAATTGAACCCTGTTATAGCTAGGTTCACAGTATGTACACTTATAGAGAAAGAAAACGGGGGATTTGATTTGTCACTTTTATATATATATATATATCCAAGTTCCTGTAATAACAGAGGCTGTTATAAATGGACTGGACTGTATTTTCTCCTTGTTGTTTTGTCATCTCCAGGAATATTCCAACAAGCAGCTCCTCTCCCTGATCAGCTCCGTGGACCATCTGAGCCGCAAGTCCCGGCAGAAACTGATCAACATGGTGGAAGATCTGGACCGCGGCCGCAGATAACCTGGTAAAAATATAGCTTAACCACCCGTCCCCCCCCCTCAGCGGCCATCTTTCATCATCCAACAATCAACATTGACAGCCCTACCATCATCTTGAGCGACTTCGTGAGCTTGGAATTGGACGGGGCGCCTGCAGAAGTTCAAGACTTAGTGTGAGGAGCAAATGGCTATAGAGGAATCAACCATTGCTTGGAACCGTCAGCATCTACTACACTCTTCTCGAAGTGCTTCTTTCGGGGGACGGAGCGCTTTATTATGGGGATGTCCCTTGTGTAGTGATGTCGGTCCTTCACACAAGTAACTAGTAACAAGTAACAAGTAACTAGTAACAAGTAACTAGTAACAAGTGACAAGTGACAAGTGACAAGTAACTAGTAACAAGTGACAAGTGACAAGTGACAAGTAACAAGTAACAAGTAACAAGTGACAAGTGACAAGTGACAAGTAACAAGTGACAAGTGACAAGTAACTAGTAACAAGTGACAAGTAACAGGTAACAGGTAACAAGTGACAGGTAACAGGTAACAGGTGACAAGTGACAAGTAACAGGTAACAGGTAACAAGTGACAAGTAACAGGTGACAAGTGACAAGTGACAAGTAACAAGCCCTAGCTGTGTTTCTTTCTCCTGTCAGACACGGCTGCAACCTCCTCTGTGACCTTCACCTTCACTGTGACCTTTACTGTGACCCCTCAGTAACCTTTACTGTGACCTTCACTGTGACCTTCACTGTGACCTTCACTATGACCTCCATTGTGACCTTCACTATGACTTCCATTGTGACCTTCACTGTGACCTCCTCTGTGACCTTCACTGTGACCTTCACTGTGACCCCTACTCAGTGACCCCAGATCTGCACACTAGGTCACTTATGCAGTTGCGAGCTCCGTAAAACCTTACTACTAAAACAAACGAACTCTAGATCAAGCGCATTCGAAGTATGGAGGGGGCTTAACTTGACTTTTACCACCCATACCTTTTTACTTTTACCCCCTACTATATAGCTAGAGAGACTTACTTTGTGACATTCCGTGTATAGAGTCACCACTTGCTGGAGATGCCTGGCTGTATGCTCATCAGGAAGAATGGGAGGGGAACGGGTCAGATATATATGGTATATATATATATATCTATATCTATATCTATATCTATATCTATATCTATATATATATATATATGGAGCATATTTTCAGAGAATTTTTTACACTTCAACACGGCCTATGTAATGTTCCTAGGAAGTATAGGAATATATATATATAATATGTCCTAAATAGTTTCCATGATAGGCCGGTTGTGATTTTAAAAAAAAACTTCACTTTGCGTTGAAACCATTTGTCAGAAGATTTCACCCTCAAGGTTTGAAGTTTAGCATCTTCTAGTTTGTGATACTGGTACCGGTACATAGGGCTTTGCTTAATGAAGTTGAGGTCAAGATGACTTGGGGATAGAATTCCTCGTATATTTTGCCATATATAGAGATAAAATCATCTTATTATCATTTTTCCCATAGTTTGACTTTGGCCAGAGGATGCAAAACTAAAAAGGCATAATGGTGAAAAGGCAATATCACATCCCTACTACTAAATCATTGTTTAAGTTAAGCAGAGTCCATGGTACATTTTTTGCCTCTGCCTCTACTCATTCCAATTAATTATTTATGAATCACTGCGACTGCGAGGGACCAAAGTAGTGGATATAATGTATGTGTCACGACGCGCTGGAATCAGACGCTCGTCAATTTTTGGGCATATGGAGCTCTATTGGTTTCATCTTTTGTTCATTTGTCTCGCTTTTGATGAAAAAATGGCCATTTATTTTGAACTTGAATAGAATTTGAGATATTTGCGAGAGGTGGGGTGGGGGTGTGTCTGGTGCCTGACGTAAACCTAACAACAAATGTCGGCCAAAGTTTGGTGACTTTCAAAGCTTGAGAGTTCTTGGAAACTTGAAGTTTACATTTTTTTGTGCCTTTGATCAACATTTTCCCGTAAATTCCACCCTGAAATGCGTTTTTAAAAGGGACCTCAAAGGTTGATCCAGTAAAAATCGCCCAGAGGGTTGAAAAACGTCAATTTCTTCAATTAAATTATTTTGACTGACGAGCATCTGATTTCACCGCGTTGCCACACGTATGATCCTTTTGTGAGCTGTTCACTCTGGGTGATGTCTAATATGTGTGTGTATGTGTGTGTATTTATGCAACATGAGCTCTTTTTATAGAAATATCCATTCGTAGGTACCATTTTGTGAGTGAGGTACGGTACGTTCGGTGTAAGTGTCAATTGTTATATATATATGTGTGAATCTAAACTGTATTGTATAAAAAAAACTCAAGTACTGTCTGAGATTCTATGAGATAGGGTGCCTGTATGATATCATTCTGTTTGTTTCGAAGGTAATTGATATGGTTTTGGTTTTGTGCTTGTAAAATTCTGTTTGCTTTTGCTTGACTTTTGAAGACGTGATATGCGTCAGTTGATTTGTTTCTGATAATCATAAACTTTTTTTTTACTGGTTACTTTTTTTGTTGCATTTCTTTTTATCCCCTGAATCAACATGATGCAAAATGTTTTTTTCTACCTTTATTTAAGTTAAATACATCATTCGCAACAACTGAAACTTATCATGTTAGTACTTTTTTGTGGACAAGAATAATGCAACAAAACTTATCAAACATGCGCTGCCCAATCAGCGAAGTTTGAAGTTGTGGACTGATTTCACGTACATTTTTTGTTCGTTTTGCTGCACGAGAATTTGATAAGCTAATGTAGTAATGATTTGATGCTGAAAGAGACTACAGAAATTGTGAAGTCTGCTCCTGAGAAACTGTTTATAGCATGATACAGTCTAGCACACACATGGTGAACATACATTGATACATAGCCAACAGATTTTCAGATTCCAGTTTTTCTTATCCATTACTTTCTTTGTATTAAAAAAACCCCATGTAAATAGAGGGAAATTCTTACGTATAACAAAAAGATTTCCACGTCTCGCTGATTTCGCTATGTGTGTGCTAGACTGTATATACATGAAACTGGTCTGTAGATGGATGTTTGGGGTTCAAATCCTTGTGTGTGTGCCTGTGTCTGTGTGTGTGGGGGGGGGGGAGGGGTGGGGGGTGTTAGAATTATCCTCGACTTTTCTGTGGTGATTACTTTCCTCCTCTCCTCCGTCGTTTGTTCCCGGGGTTATGACTTCTAAATATATCTAAATGACCGGCATTGTGTCTGGGTGGGCTGTTTGTTGTTAAACTCCTATAAAAGATCTTGTTTGTCATCTTGTACATGTACATTTAGAAAAGAATAGACTGAGGTGAGGCATAAGTAGAACTCTGTGTGTGTGTGTGTGTGTGTGTGTGTGTGTGTGTGAGAGAGAGAGAGAGAGAGAGAGAGAGAGAGGGAGGGAGGGAGGGAGGGAGGGCGGCCCGCGAGTGATGAGACAGAGAGAGAGAGAGACAGAGAGAGAGACAAAGAGAGGGCGGGAGAGAGAGAGAGAGAGAGATGATTTATCAAAGTACATACATATTATATATGTTATACGGTACGTCTTACAGTTTAATCATCTGAGGACCAAATACACTTTTCCCACCCGCATACATTATATTTAATTTATATATATATAATTTTTATCAAATTGTCACTATGAAGTTTTGTTCGTTCGAGTTCGAGTGAAGACTGTTTTTGTATAGACCCTGCAGTATACCTGTGGTGTCTTGCTCAATCTCCTTTTCATTTTCATGATTTTGTGCATATTATTATTATTATTATTATTAATATTATTATTAATATTAGTCTATAAAAATTGTTTGTTGTTGTTAGATGAATCTTTACCTCAGATGTTGTTATGTGTGTCATGTTTCCGAATGTCAGGAGGTTGTTATTTATTGTTTATGGCATTTTTTTATGTTTTCCTGATTTGTATCTCTCTTGTTTGAAACTGAACTCGATAGTTTGTATCTGAAAGAAGACAGCAGTTGCAGTGGTTTTATGTAGGCTACCCCGCCTAATTTAGCAAAATTTTATCATTTTTGGCCTAATTTCTGATTATTTTCCTTTATCATTCTTTGTTAAAAAAAACCCCCAGAATCGCATTATATCACATTTTTGGGCTCAGTTTGCATAATTTCAGAATTTTTTATTGCATAAAATGACAGGGACAGAGAATATTTCTAAGTGCTGGAATTGGAATACCTAAAATATATTAATAATAATTTTTTTTGGTTTTCTGTGAGGTCGAGAGGGAATTATGCCAAATTAAAAAATGAGATTTCATATTGCTGTCCCCGCGGTTTTATGCAAAAGAAATTCTGAAATTATGCAAACCGAGCCCAAAAATGTGAAATTACACGATTCTGTTCATTTTAACAAAGAATGATAAAGGAAAATAATCAGAAATTATGCCCAAAAAACGATCAAATTTTGCTAAATTATGCGGGGTGCATAAAACCCCGGGGACAGAAATATTGTTTTATACAGTCGACTCTGCTTGTGTTGAACTTGCTCGAGTTGATCTTCAGTTAAGACTAGGCGATCTTTTTTTGGGGGGGGGGTTTCAGCACATCTTCTTTTTCTTTACACAAGTCCTAACGGTTGAGCTGAACTTTGGATGAAATTAATTGATCTTTTTTTTTCACTCCCCTCCCGACGACATCAACTCATTCATCTGTAGTCCACTGTACTGTAAAAAGTTTCTTGTTTTGAAAATTAAGTCAGCGAAATTGTTGATGTGAGACTGGGTGGTGATTGTAGGATTGATTAGGTTTTGACTGGTTTGTGTTTGGAGTTCTGCTGCTACTGCAAGTTGACTAAATGCCTTTTTTTCATTTTGGCGCCAAATTTTTTTATTTGTTAAGTCGAACGCCTGATCAGTTACCCTACTGGTATGAAAAAAATCAAATTGAAACTGTGGCTAGTTTTTAAAATAAATTTGAAAATCAAATTTCGGAAGAATTCTATTTTTCAATGGTTACGCAGACAAAAAAGCCTCTGTTTCTCGAACCTGCTGTGAATTAAAAAAAGGTGTTTTGTCAGCTTATGTCATAGTATTTCAGTACTGCCATGTGTGGGTGTGTAGATGATTTCCTTCAAATCTCTTATAGTAGTACTAGTACATGTAGTAGATCTCAGGCTTGATCCGAACAAGTGTCTCCTCGTTTGTCTGTTGTTGTCTTGTGGACGATCTTTGGGTGACGTCTTCATTAATTTCAAATAATATTGTTATATATGGATAGTGTTATTGTTAATGTTACTTTTATTGTTATGCTCTAATGGTGTAACTTATTGCTTGAAAAATTTTCAATGAGTCAAAATAAAAGCATTTTAAAAAATTTTA